GAGAGAGAGAGAGAGAGAGAGAGAGAGAGAGAGACTTATATAAATAATATGAATCAGCGAAATGAAGTGCTAATTTTGCTTACCCATTAAGGGCCGATACAGGCATCACCATGCAATCTCTTCTACCAATTAAGTGCGCACTTTGATTGAATATTGGTTTCACTTCTCTGACACCCATACAATCAGGTACATCTTGCTTATTTGCTAGTACCAATAATGGTACACCAATTAGATGCTCAGATGATATCACCTTATCTAAAAGGAAAGTGTGATACACATATTTTCATCGTTTGTGCAATATTTATATGTGCCTCATTAAAATAAAGGAAATAATTTTTATTTTTTTAAGAAGTAAAGATATTTTAAATTTATAGTTTTATTTTAAAATGTATGTTGAAATATTAAAAATGTTTCTCATATTGTTATTTTACTTACAATTGGAACTTGTCCAATTTAATAACTCAAAATATCATTAGAGAACATCTTACCAAAAGTTTCTTTGGAATCTGGTATTCTATCACGATCAGACGAGTCAACAATATAAATCACAGCGTGAGATTCTGCATAATACTGTAAGTATAAACTAATATTATCATTTACCGACATATAATTCATATATATTGTCTAATTATCTTACATGCTACTAATGGTGTAATGAGAAGTGTTATATAATCCCATAAATAAAAAAAGAAATATTAAAAAATGCACCATAATATATTATTTGTTTTTGTATTATATATTAAAAGGGGACATAGAACTCTTTTGGCTTAAAAAAGTAAGCCTTTTCCACGGTTATTTTTTCTAAAAAAGATATGTGAGCTACAAGAATCAAATGTTCTTCATAAACGAAATTACATATTTTTTATTTTATGTTTCACTGGATATCCCATTCTTCCTAGGTCATGCAAGTTTCATGGTACCAGAAATACATTATCACCGACTTGGTTCATCTGAAACAAAAAGTAAAAAAGAGTTAAAGTATATTAAAGTATATTAAAGAGTATAATCTCTATCAGAAACAATTTAGAATTTTGGATTTTTAACAAAATGGCGGATTTTCAAACTTAATGAATCAATTTTCAGCAAAAATTTTGATTTTCTTTCTAAAAAAAATATAAAAATGAAAAAATAAAAAAGCATCTGATAGAAAATACAATTTTTAATATACTTTAAATTTTTGGTTTTAGATGAACCAGGTCAGAGATATTTCTGATACTGTGAAATGTTGTACACCATGTAAAGCCTAGAAAGAAGATATTTTTTAGTAAAACATAATATTAAAAAATATATGTACTTTCATTAACAAAAAATTTGATCTTGTAGCTTATATATCCGTCCCAGAAAAAAAATCATGAAAAGGGCATACTTTTTGAAACCAAAAGAGTCCTATGCCTCCTTATTTACTTTGTCCCACAGAGATTGAAGTTCCTCTTGACCACCAAGATCCCAAAAGTTAAAGGATACTCCAGCGATGTCGATCTTGCCAATGTTCAAGCCTACAGTAGTCGTAATCTTGCTCGGATTCATACCCTTGTAATTCTTTGTGAATTTCGTCTTCGCCGCCTCGAGGTAAGTCTACAAATAATCGATAATTGCAGTTCTAACATTATAACCTCGGAATATTCGAGAGTGCCCTACCGTTTTCCCCGCATTGTCGAGTCCTAAAATTAATATGAAGTACTCGTCCTTTTGCATCAAATATTTGTACAAACCATGCAGCAATGTGTACATCTCCGTTAACCATCGATGTATTCGATGATATAATTTACATGTCGTATTGTTTATATCTTAGGCCCGTACTCATCGCACTTCGCACAGATTCGCACTCGTGAGTCGTGCCATATTGGGCTGCGTTCGGAAATATCATCAATAGGGTGCCCCCGTCCCGTGTATCAGTTGGTGGAATCCATATGCTGGATTCACACTGCAGCTTTGGCTGCGTTCAGCAGACTCAACAGTTGAATGAGCGCTCGCTGCTATTGATGTATTCTTCTAGATTTAAAATCTGGTTAGACGATCTAAAAGAATACATCAATGGCTGCGTTCAGCAGACTCAACAGTTTTGCAATCGTTTTGTGATTCTTCGCTGAGATAGGAATATTGTTCCTTTAAATCTAAAAGTATAATCCAATCAGCGCGACGAATCATAAAACGGTTGCAAAACTGCTGAGTCTGCTGAACGCAGCCAATACCAGCGAGCGCTGCTCATTCAACTGTTGAGTTTGCTAAACGTAGAGTCCTAGATTTAAGGCCCATCTACAATACACGGAGTAAGAAGTAAGAGTAAGAAATTGACCAATCACAGTCGAATGT